TCAACGTCGTGATCGGCCAAGCTGGCTAGGAACGTAGCCATTCCTCTTCCATGACCCTACGGGCGCGCCAACCACCCATCCCACGACCCTCGCCCCGACGAAAGCAGACCCGACGCACTGCTCGCCAAAATCTCGGAACTGGCTTCTTCATATGTCGTCGACCCCTTTAATTGGCATAGCGATAACCTGAGTCTAGATATTGTGCTGCTTGGGCGTCGCAGGGAGGTAGATCTGACCAGTCAATGATCTCCGCGCCTCTGGCTTGTGAGATAAACTTGGCGGCGCCGTCGTTTAAGGCGCACTCTACATCGGAGTGCATCGCAGTAGCCGGGCCGCGATGCATCCAGAATTGGTGATAAGCGTCTTGCGTAGTAGCATCGCCTTGTCGGCCACCTGTTGGCCAGCAGCCCAAAGAACGCATCGATCCACGATGTGAAGTACGATGTGTTCATAATCTAACATCAGATCGTATTCGTCTTCCTCGTTGCATTTGGATGGGGGGCCGACTAATGGATGGCATGACTGCTCTGCCTGGTTTCCCCCGAGCCCCGCGCTCACGGCGTGAGTCAACTACGCCTGTTATCATGTTTAGTCGCACATCATCTAGCCCTACTCTCGATAGGACTGCGCGCATCTTTGGTTCGGGCGCACGATGCCACCGTAGGTGGAGCTTGCGTAGTTCGTTTACTACGATGGTCGGATAGTAGCTGCGCGCGTTTTGGAGACACACCTGAATGTCGAACCTCGACCGGTTAGGCAGTCTCGCGCGCGGCCGAGCTTCAGCTTAGAGGCGGAGGGGGAGGCGGCGCTGCGTCGCCTTCCCCGCGCCCGCGCCGTCTTACGACGCGCGGCGGGTCCGAAGAGCTGCCGGCGCCAAGACAGCCGGCGCTGCTGCCGTGAGATCAACGGGCGCCCCGCGTCGCGTCGTAGCTGAGGCGCCTGCAGTCGGGTCTCCAGGTTTCCTGCGCGAAGGAAGAGGTGCGCGTGGCCGCGCAAAGCCCCGCGGCCTGTCGTGCAGGTGGCATTCCTGCTGGTGCTCGCGCTTCGTCGAACAGTTCGTCTACTGGTGCTTTTGCCGCCGCTGGCGCAGCCGCCGCCGAAGTTTTCTGGCAATTGCCTGGGTCCGGCAACTACGCATCCGCCTGGCGTTAGCACGTGGCCCCTTGCTTGTTTTCACCGTGATTTGGTCTGCAAGTTGGGCATTTCCTTGGGCGGGGTTCAATATAAATCACCCGGCATTGTCGCGGAGTGCGGTTGCGCCGCAGCGAACTAAGTCACTCGCGCGTTGCGGCTCGCGCTGGACGCCCCAGCCCGCTCGACGGCCGTCGGCGAATTGACCCGGCGGCTTTTTGAGGCACCGCGGGGTCGCAAGGTCATGACCGGCGCTGCTTGTCTGTTTTCGATCGACGGATGGGTTTCTACCTCGCGCGCAGGAGTCCCGCGCGCTCTGTGCCGCATCGACGATCAGAGATTGCGTCATCGGCGCGCGTCGGGCCGCCCGCGCTAATCATGTGCCTTCGCCGGGGCCACCCGAACCAGCGGGGGCCTGGCCAGAGCGACCCCGCATCGTGAAGATGTTGGCATTCGTCTGGCCCAAGCCTACCGCGGCCCTGTCTTCCTCCGAGAGACCGAAGACCGTCGGCGCCGGGAGCTGGGGGGGGCCTCCCTGCCCGCGTCCGAGCTGAAGTTCCTGGAGCTTGGCCTCTGTGGCAGGCGTGGCCTCTGCATCTGACATGCAGTTGCCATCGTCGCCCTCGTCGTCAGAATCGGCGCGCGCGTGTCCGCGCCAAGGTAAGCCGGCCCAGTCCTCGAACGGCGCGTCGCAGAGCTCCCCGACGCCGTCGCGCAAGTACTCGGTGCAAATCCCGAACGCCATGGCAACTTCAGCGTAGCGAACCACGTGGTTCGGGATTGCGCAATCGCGAACCTGTCTGTTCGGGATTGCGCATGGGAAGCGCGGTCGATCCGGGGGAAACCAACGCGTTCCTGCACGTCTTCCCCGTGTGGCTCTGAGCCAAGAATTGCGGATCCATCCGCCTTTCCCTTTCCCATGGGAAACGGCACCTGCTAATTTCTATCGATCCCGCAAGAGTTGCATGTCATACGTTGGAAATTCATGCCCGCGGGGTGAAGCTTCCTCCCAGTGCCCTTGCTCGAGGCACTCCCACGACCATTGCCCATGCCCTTGCCGCCGAAGACCAGCGCCTCAACGTCGTGATCGGTCAAGCTGGCTAGGAACGTAGCCATTCCTCTTCCATGACCCTGCGGGCGCGCCAACCACCCATCCCACGACCCTCGCCCTGACGAAAGCAGACCCGACGCAATGCTCGCTAAATTCTCCGAACTGGCTTCTTCATATGTCGTCAACCCCTTTAATTGGCATAGCGAAAACCTGCGTCTAGATTTTGCACTGCTAGGGCGTCACAGGCAGGTAGATCTGACCAGTCAATGTGTTCTACACTTGTTAATGAGCAGGTCTCGGTGACTGTGCCAGAACCGAACGGCTCGTCCCCTTGTTGGTGGGCGAACACCAAAGGGTAACCGCTTCGGGTGGTGCATAGTTGGCAGCTGATGGCCAGCCAACGTTAAAGCCCGAGGCCTGTGCGTTGATGGCCTCTTGGCCGAAGAACACTGTGGATTCGGTGGGCCCCTCATCGTTCCACATGTTCCCCGACGTGGCCGACGGAGCGTCGCTTTCTTCGGCATGGGAAGTCCCGGCGTTGCGGCCATTGAAGATACTTCCGGTTTGTATCAGGAGCGCGCGCAACTAAGTGTCCACAGCTGCGCATGCGCTCCAACAGTTGATCGTGAAGCGCATGCGCTCCAACAGTGGGTGCGAAGCATCTGGTGGTTGAGTGGTAGTAGTAGTTGCGATGCTCGGGAGGTGCCTACTCCCAGAGCGCGAAACAGCAGAAGCGCCAGGATCTGGAAGCTAGGTATGTTGAAGCCCGCAGTTTTCGCTTCCAGCCTGGCCATCTCGAATCGGGCCACCACTGAGTCAATGCGTTCGCCTCGCGTGACCCTGGCGTCGACGAGGGCTGTTCCTGAGTTGAGCTGGCGCTCATCCTCGGGGTTTCTAAACTTGGTGTTTAAAAGGTACATAGCGTACATAACTCAATCCGTGCGTCTACCCTGTAAGGTTACACCGTCGTTGATGGTGGTCGACGGCACCCTCATGGCCAATGTCCTGGCGAGACCCCATACACCCGGTTGTAACGGAATGGCCTTTTGTGGTGGAGTCATGTTTCTGCCTGTGACGTTAAATCGTGCGTGAACTTCGCGAACGAGTTCGCGAAAAGGTACGTTGCCTGCGGGTGTCACGTGGGGGCCCCCAGTGCGCGTTCCCTCCATACCTCCTTCTCGCCTTTGCTCCACTTCCAGACCCAAGCGTATCCTTTTGATACCCAAAGTTCCTGACGTTGACGTAACGCATGGTCATATTGCAGTTGATGCTGTCAGGGTGGGGGTCCTTGCTAGTTTACGTACCCATCGGTTTGCGGCTGGGTGTTTGGTCTGACGTGGCCGTTCGTTTGCGGATGGGTGTAGGGGGTTTGGTTTGCGCGCTGCGTGTGGCCACGCGGTGGGGCGATGGAGAAATATGAAAGTGAGTTACCAATTGGTTGAAGAGTTTTGGAGGTGAAATGGCTCATAGCCTGCGCACTTGACTAGTCCACTGTGCCGTGGTAAGCTGTTATGTACATAGCACCTGGAGCAAGAGCCAGCCACATAAAGATGAGACCAGCTCCGCTACAACGTGAAAAGTTCCATGAGATAGTAAGCTGAAACCTCGTTTCTTAGGATGACGTCGTAGACGTATCACGGTATCCCATACCTTACCCCTTGCTGACAAGCAAAGCGAGAGATGAGAGACAAGACATGAGATAGAGAGATGAGCCATCGGTGGATGTGATCTTTATCCGACACTCAGGTTCGATTGTACCTCTCGGGCGAGAGGTAGTCACATAGGACAGCGCTACCTTGAGCCAGGTCGCGCTGGACATAGACACGACGTTTGTTATACTAGCCCCCCTTTGACGCCCTTTAAAGTGGAGGAACGCGCCGCATCGCCGACAGATCGCCGATGCATCGGCACTGTCGGCGTGGAGAACATTGGGCTTCGCATCGTGCTGCATCGCCGATGCGGCGCGACCCTTCGAGCCCATCTACACGGACTCCGTCTAACCCAAAAGGGTCTTTAACCCCGCTGTTAAGTTACAAAGACTCCTCCTCCTCCTCCTCCTCCTCCTCCTCCTCCTCCGTGTCTTTGCGCGCACAGGCTGAGCAGGATAATTACGCCCGCTGCGTGGGAGGTCGAGGGGGAGGACGAGGGGAAAGGCGAGGAGGGGAAGGACGAGTTTCATTGCCAGCCGAAAGCTTCGAGGGGGGAGGGGCCAGGGCAGCACTAAAGACCTTTACGGATCTGAGGCTTAGATGATCCCCTTGCTAGTAAGCCGATTTCTATACACCGACGCTTGTTGCGGTCCTGCATTGCAAAATTGCACAGGAAAGCGGATCCTGGTGTTTCTGGGACCCTGGTGAACATTTTTCGTTGGTCCCTGAGGACATGGATATCGAAATGGTATACACCACACCACCCCGACGTCGTCCCTGACCCTCAACAAAAACGTCGTGGGACTGAAGAACAGCCCGCCACTGGCAATGTATATGCTCCAGTTTCCGATTTAAGGGGAGGCCTAGATGTTCCCCTTGCCACCCCGCTGAGAGGCCTCCTAGATGGGGTCGGAGTAGATGGGGTGCCGCATCCCAGATACATCGGCGATGCATCGACGATGTATCGGCGATGCACCTGCGATGCATCGTCGACTTCGGCGATGCATCGGCGACGTCGACGTGAAGCAAATCGGTCTCCACCTCGAGCCGCACCGGCGATGCATCGGCGATGTGGCGCGATCCTCCGATCCCATCTGCTCCGACCCCATCTAGGAGGCCTAGACCGCCGCCGCCTGCCCGAACCACCGCCCGCCCACCCGCGGCCAAGCCTCGCTCTGCGCCGCCCCCGCGGCGCCACAGCGCGCTCGGAAGGCCAGCGCGCGCCGCAGCAGCGCGCCGCTGCCGCGGTCCTCGAGGTCGTCGGGGTACACCTCGGGCGGGGCCCTATCGGGGGCCCCGACCTCCTCTCGCCGACGAGGTGCCTCGCGATCCGGGCATCTCAACTTCGTCGAGCCGGGTGTGTTCGCCTGGTTTCGGGCCCCAAGGCCCTCAAAGATCGATCCAGCTAGAAAGATGGGGTCCAGGGCTCTAGTCGTGATTTTGACGACGTCTCAGTTTTTTCGCGACGTCGAATCTCAGGATGCGCCCTACCCCCCCAACCCGGAGCCCAGAGCCCACGTGTCGGAAACGAGCAGGCAAGCGCTTCTGCGGCACAACTTGCAGCAAATCGCTGCGGGGATTCATGCTCGGTTGTTGTGGAGAGGAAGCTGGCCTAGCCCAGCCTGCCAGATTCTTGTCTGGAACCTTCAGCCCCCAGACACGCTCGCGTCGTGAAAAAGTCACGATGGATAGTTGTTTGGCGGTTTTCGCCCTCCGCGAGGTCCCCGCGCCCGTCAAGAAACAACTCGGAATGACGAGCTCGCCCTGGAGAACGGGTCAGGACTTCCAGAGACCCCATTTATTTTTGAAAAAAAACAAGATGCCGGATATCTGGGACCTTCTCCTCCTCAACCCGCTCCCTTGCCGGTCGCGGGGATGGCCCCCACCGCTTCAAATGCGGCCACCCCCCCCTCAACCGCTTTCCTTCCTTCCTGCCCCACCCCCTCCTCCTCCTCCCCCGTCGTCAAGAGCCGCGGGCCATGACCGCCCACAAAAGATGAGGACTGGACGCGAAAGCTTCCTCACTGGGGGCTGAGGCTGTGGGGGCTCCACCGTGCAGAACGTCAGCCGAGGAGGAGGAGGAGGAGGAGGAGGAGGAGGAAGAGGATGAGGAGGAGACGGGACGGAGGATAATCTTTTACCATCGTACCTTTCACAATATGACCCACCAGCCGGTGACTCCAATCATCTGGCTCACTAGTCTGATCAAACCCCCTAGGGCCGACCAGCCTTGGCGGGGGGAGCGCAACGTCTGACCGACTTTTCTGCCTTCAGGCTTGCAGGCTTTCAGGAGGAGGAGGAGGAGGAGGAAGAGGAGGAGGAGGAGGAGGAGGAGGAGAAGGACGAGGTGGAGGAGGAGGCGGGCGCGTCCTTTCCCCATACGCAAGGCGGTCCCTTCCCCCCTGCTGCGAGCAGCGGCCGTCCCTGGAGGGCCAGCGCAGGGCGTTGCAGGGACGCGATGGCAACCACCTGAAGTGCGTTTGGACCACCTGCGGTCCCAGGAGGGGCAAAGAGGTGAGGAGGGCACAGACGAGTTTGAAGTCGCGCTGCCAGAAAGAACGCCGAGACGGAACGAAGGGTCTTGTCTGGCCACGGCGAGCATCGGTCAAGAACATGTTCCCCCGACTTTCTACCTGGGGATCGGCTCGCGAACCCGAGCCAATCCGTAGCCGAACGTTGACCTTATTTGGGCGTCTTGGCTGTACGCCATGCCGAGACGAGGCGAACCCCGCTCGACACAGCGACCCATCCCCCTTGGTGCCGCCGTTGCACGGCTGGGTCGTCACTGGGACCAGGAGAGTATGAAGGGCAACGGTAGGAGGGGAACTGGCCTAGTGGGGGAAACATCGCGCTGGGATCGGCGATGCATCGCCGATGGATCAGCGATAGGCTCTCGGTAGTGAATCCGCACGTTTCTGGGCGGGGTGGGCCAACGGGCCCCCATCGGCGACATATGGGCGATTCAGGGGTGGATGCGTCCCCCCCCCGAACCCATCCACCCAGGCCTTGCCCATAACTCGGCTGTCGGGCGGCCGCTCGGGGCGATCTGGGCGCCCACTGGAACGTTCTCGGCGAGGCGCGGCTGCTGGACAGCACCCCGAGGCTGGAAAGCCGCCGAGAAACAACGAAAGCTCCCAAACACCTCGAACCTCGAGCTCTTCCTCCTCCTCCTTTCTAGCGCAAGTTCGACGCGTTCTAATGCGGGAGAAACCGCCGAATTAGCGGAGCGAGAGCGGGCGCAGCGGGCAAAGAGAGGCAAACATAACAGCTAAGCCTGCTATGACCTTGGTATGCCTCCTAGCTCCACATAATAAACGCCCCACGACCCCCTTAGTTTATCCAGGCATGCCGTGTCAAGGTAAAATGTGCGTGCAGTTGGGATCAATGGGCAAAACGACAGGCGACTCTAGGAGTAGGTGCAAAAAGAAAAAGCGTACATATGTTGAGCAACATGTGTAGGGCTGGCGAAATCTGTGCTGACTTGCCCTGTGGCGGAGCAAAAATATAGGAATACAGTAAAGATTCGGTTGGTACTAGTTTTGTTCGGTTCCTTGGGGGGGGATCCCTTCACCGTTCCGGTTCATAGGGGAAGGGGGGCGTCACTGTGGCCACCATTGTGGCTCGTGTACCACTTCAAAATAAAGACATGCATCTGTGCCGTGGGGTGATAGGATCACGCCTGTGAGAAATACAGTGGGGCCACTCAGTGTAGGCCAGGGGGCCCTATTCCCCATCTGCTGCCCCCCCCCCCCGTCGGGACCAGTACCGTGCCGTCGTGGACCGCCAGCAGCCACGCCCACACCGCCTTCGCCTGGGAGCAGGACTGCGACAATCCGTAGAAGGAGCCAGGGTTCTGGCGCGGCGATGGGGGGCAGGATGTCTCCTCCCCCATGCTCCTCGCCTTTGCCCTCGCCCCGGCCCCCGTCCACCACGCCCCCCTCGTGGGCCCCATGTCTCTCCTCGGAGGACCCCTTTGCCTGCGCACGTTTGCGCCTCCCTCCCCCCTCGCACTGGGGGTCCTAAAACCGTGTGGTGACAGACCTTGCGGGGACATCAGAATCCCACCAGCCCTCTGGGCGTAGGTAGTTTAGGGAGTTTCCTCTTCCACCTCCCTTCTTCCCCTTCGGGGTAAACCCCTCCCCCCTACCCCCTCCCCTAGACCTGGGCGGGCGGTGCCGCGACCCATTGGAGCGTCCAAAACGGCCTCTGCGAGGAAGGCAAAATCATTGGTTGTGCTGGGGTTTGGGCCCAAGTTTGGCGACTTGGGGGGACAACGCTAAAATGACCTCCCCTCTTCTTCGATCGATCTCCTCCAAGATGGCCCCAAGAGGCGCCCAAGAGGCCCCAAGAGGCCCCAAGATAGCCCCAAGCTGGCCCCAAGAGGCCCCCAACAGGCCCCCAGGAGGCCCCTAAGAGGACCCCAAGCGGCCCCAAGAGGCACCCCCGAGGCAGGCACCCAAAACGCCCCCAACCCCCCCAGGACCGCCAAGAGACGCCCAAAACGTCCCAAGAGGCCACCAAGAAGCGCCCAAGAGATACCCCAAAAGGCTCCGAGAGGCATCCAAGAGACCTCTGGCCCTTTTGTTTGCCCTCCTCCACCTGTTCCCCCTTCCTCCTCCTACTCCTTCTCTTACTCCTCCTCCTTGTCCTCCTCCTCCTCATCATCATCATCAGCAGCAGCATCCGCATCAGCATCATCATCCTCCACCTCCTCATCCGATTCATCCTCCTACTTCCCATTCCCTCATCCATCCATCCAGCCTCCTCCTTTTCCTCCTCCCTTCTTCGCACGGTTCGGCCATCCCCCTCTTTCTTCTCGCGCTTTCTTGTTCACCTCAACTCGCCTGGACATAGTGTCTGGATGGGCTGGTGGGGATACGCGAATTGGCTAGAATTTTGAAGGACCTCACCGCACGGCCCATCACAACATGGTGTTGGGGCCCTGGAAGCCCTGGTCGTCCGAGACATCCTCGAAGAACGACCTACATCCCAAAGCCGCGCGGTGAGCCCGAACCCCTACCGGCTTGTCACACGGCGTGGTCACCACCGCGTTTGGGCCCTCCCCCCGCAATCTTCCCGTGCGCCCCCAACGGAGGGGGGAAGGTCCAAGTGGCGGGCTGGTACCCCCCCTGACAGTAGCATCGCGCCTCGTGGGTGCCGCGCACGTTCTCACTTGCGCTGGTTACAACTGTCTGCTTCTCAATCTGCTTCGCCCACACACACACACACGCACACACACGCACACACACACACACACACGCACAACACACACACATACAGACAGACAGACATACATACATACATACATACATACATATATATACATATATATATATATACAAACATGTTACGTCGGAGGCGAGGCAGACTTAATGCACCAACGGTCGGGCTAAACGGGGTTACCGAAGAGCGAATTGCCCACCACGCAAGAGGAGACTGAGACAAACAACGCGACAGCGGAGGCGGAAGAAGGTAACACTCAGAAGCGGAAGACTTCCATCCTGAGTGCGATGTCGCGGCCAACCTCGGCAGCGGAAACCGTGGCAGCGGCCGGGCCGCGGTGTCGGTGGATTCACGGGCGCTGCCGATGCCCAGTACGCGGAATGCAAAGGCACGCAGTGGAGCCGCCCAGGTGCGGGCCGACTAGGTACTGCAAGTGAGGAAACGCACAGCGGAGCCGCCCAGGTGGGCCGACTAGTGCTGCAAGTGACGAAAGGCAATCTAGGTTTCAGACCACCGACAGCCACATGCTGTGCCCGCCGGGTGTAGTGCAAGGGCTGCGACGAAGCGCGCAGCCTGGGAACATCACCACCAGGGGGTCGCTGCGAACCGCGGCTGCAGCGTCGGCGCCATGGCGGCGCGCGGAGAGACGGAGGGAACAGGCGCGGGGAAGGGGAGGGAGGAGACAGGGAGGAAGATCGCCCCGCCTGCGGGGAAGCCCCAGCAGTATGCGGGGCGTCGGCGCCAGGCGGCCCAGCGCCAGTGCTGAGGCTGCGCGGCGGGCGTCCCTTGCTGTGGCCAGGCGCGCCGCTCGTCGCGCCTGGGGCCAAAGTGTGGCCAGGGCCTGAGCGGCGGAGGGAGACGGGCCGACGGAGGCAGCGCACTGTCTGGGTTGGGTGGAGTGTATGGCCGAGCTGAGGCACCAGTCCAGCGTAGCTATCTGCGTTCAAAACTGTAGCCGACGCCGTGGAGGCCGAGCTGTCTGGGTAGACAGCTCATGGCAGGTCTAGGGGCACCTATAATCGGTGCAGTTACCCGCGCGACGTAACTGCGGCCGAAAACGTTGAAGGCCGAGCGCTGTCTGGATGGACTGCACATGGCGGGTATAGGGCCACCTAATGACACGGCGTAAGTACCTGCGTGAACAAGAGGAGGGGCCCGGGGGGGGGGAGCAGGGGGACGGCGCGCCACCCGGGGAGGGCAGCGCGCGGCCGCGGGGCACCACGCGGCACTGGGTGTGGCGCAGCGGGATGGGCCCCACATCGGCATAGACTCGCGTGCTAGCGGCCGTGAGCCGTCCGGGGAGGGCAGCGCTAGGCCGCGGGACCCTCGCGCATTGCCTGGGGAGGGGGACTCCCGCGCTGAGGACGTAGGCCGTCTGGGAGGGCAGCCCGAAGGAGCTTGGTGCCCGGCGCTCAGACGCGGGCCGTCGCCAGGCACGGCCGCAATGCCTGGGACCTTAGAGGCTGGATAGGCCCGACAGGTCGGGGCGGCGCGGCCTCGATTGGTAGTTGTTGGGCCAAACGGGGTCGGACTGCCTCTTGCCTGTCCCGGGCAGGTCGCTGCCTTTTCCTTTGCCCCGCCCCTTGTCGCGCTGTTGTTCGTTGCGCTGGGGCTGGCGTTCCCGAGCTGCACACCAGTCTACCTGGACTCTCCTCGGCCAGCAAACCCTGCGGATGTCGTAGTAGAAGTAGAAGAAGTCCGCGACAAACTGCCTGCAACATTCGTCGTACCTCCCAGGGTTGCAAGCACCTCCCCATATGCATCTGCCATCCCGGTCGTCGCAGAGAGCGTTCTATCCCTGGCCAAAGAAAGCACCGCATTGCCGTGTTAGCCGGTTGACGACTTGTGGCCAGGCCTTTCAGGTGTTGGTTCTGCGGCTCCACGTCTGCTGTCAGGCTGCTGCCAGGTGACCATTCTACGGGGCCGGCGCCAATCCTAGCGACTTCCGCACCCGCCCGTCGCTGGTCCGTTTGTACTATTGTCGCTGCGGCGGCCGCTGGGCCGGGGACCGCCCGCATCCGCCCAGGCTGCATCGTTGGTCGCAATGGGCTGGTCCTCCCGCGGTGGCTGGGGGGCTGGCCGTGCTGCCTCCGCTGGGCCAGTGCTGCCGGCCACCGCCTGTGCGTGGTCGGCTGTGTGGGGCTCCACGCTAGGGTGCGTCTGGAGATCTTGGCCTGGGGCGTCGGCGTCCTGTGGGCTGCCGTCTGGGTGGCTCGGCGAGCTGTCGACCTCCATCTCGGCACTTCCAACGGGTGCGTTTTGGCCTGGGGGCAGCGGGGCGGCAGTACGGGCCTCCTGGGTAAGGGAGGGCTTGGGCGGTGTTTCTTCGGAGGTCGCGGGCCTGGCAGGCTGTACTTTCAGCCACGCGGCGGATGCGACGTCTGCTGCCCTGTCGTCTGCCCTTTGGGCCAGGGTTCACCTGTGAGCCTCTGCTGGGGTCGGGCTTTGGCGCGGTGGCGCTGCCCTGTGGCAACCGCCGATGCTCGCGCTGGGTCTGGCCGCTCGGTCCGGGCGCCTGGGACCTTTATTTAGTTCGTGGTTGCGTTTGACGCAGCGCTAGGGCCCGTGCCGTCTAGGTTGTCCGCGCTGGGCTGGTAGTAGGCCAGCTCTGGTGACGACAGGCTCCGCACCCCTTGTATGGAGAGGGATCTCGTGACGTGTTGTTGGCCGTACCGGTTGGGGTTCCTGCCCAGGCTTGTGAACAACAGGGGGTGGTCAGAGCCCAGGTAGGAGAGCCATTTCTCGAGGAGGTTGTCCTGTCGATTGTCAATACGACCCTACTGCTTGATGAGGTGTGCGACCGCGTGTGCCAAGGCGGCGCGCCTCCCCTCCCAGGGGCACTCCTTGGGTATTCCATCGTCTGGGATCGTCGGGTCGTAGATACTGCTTAAACTTAGGAAGACCTTGCAATCCTCTTCTGTCCAAAATCGCGGGTCTACGGGGACGTCATGGAACCCCTCTGGGCGCTGTCGCTGCTACTGCTGCTGCTGCTTCTCTGCCCAGTGGCGCCAGGCAGTCTCAAAGTCATCGTGAAGCGCCCAGGCGCTTTGCACCAGAACGCGCGCAACTGAGCAATTACCGAAACCCCACCAACTCGCCACACGGTGTGGTCACCACCCCGTTTGGACCCGCCCCCCCGCAATCTTCCCGTGAGCCTCCAGCGGGGGGGGGGGAGATCCAGGTGGCGGGCTGGCACCCCCTTCCCCTAGCAGTAGAATCGCGCCTCGTGAGTACCACACATCCTATCATTTGCGCTGGTTACAACTGTCTGCTTCGCAGGATGCTTAGTCCACAAACACACACACAAACACACACACACACAAACACATACACACTGTCTTGGCGTCGCGGTCCGGCGCGTCTACGCCTGGTCGGGCTCTCAATGACCACTGGGGGTCTCGCAGCCAGCAGCAGCCATAACCATCCGTGCCTGGATGGCGGCGAGAAGGAATGAACGGACGACACACAGAAACACAAACACAAATACACTCACACGCGCGCGCTCCTGCCTTACGTAACGGAAACGTTCATGATCACGTACGAACGGCTGGGCTTACACAACTACGCATGCACGTCCCGACCGCACGTGCGAACATTCAACCATTCATGCTCTGGCGCATCGCTCTGCTCTTCCTCATTTTCCCCTGCCGCTTCAAGCATCCAGTGTATCTTGTCTCGTCCATCCCCTCCAAATGCACAGACTCGTCCTCTCCCCGACAGCTTCTCTGTTTCCCATCAATATCACCACCACCACCGCCACCACCACCGCCACCACCACCGCCATCATCCTCATCACCATCGTCACCATCATCATCATCATCATCATCATCATCATCATCATCATCATCATCATCAACATCATCACCATCATCATCACCATCATCATCATCACCATCATCATCATCAGCATCATCATCATCAGTATCATCATCACCATCATCATTATCATCATCATCAAAATCATCATCAGTATCGTCATTCTGATTATTCCTACCATCCTTAGCATAACCATATGTTACCATCACCGTCAAACTCAACAACATACCAATTGTTGTGTTGCTCCACCTCCATGCCTCCTCCTCCCCCTCCTCCTTCCCCTGAAGATCGTCCGCCTCGCGCATCGCCGCGCGGAACCGAATCCGCCTCCTCATCTCCTCCTGCTCCTCCTCATCCTGCCCTGCTTCTGCACCTGCAAACGCTCTGGTTCCCCCTCCCCACTCTCCTCCTCCCCTCCTCCCGTGTCCCCATCCTTCCCCCCTCCTCCTCCAACCCTGCTCCCTCCCGCAGCAGCTGGTGCGCCCGATGTGCGGCACGACTCTCGCCCACAGACCGCCCTGCAAACCACTCGCGGAATAATCCCGAGAACCGCGGCGACTCGAAAACCTCACACACGGGGTCGAAACAGATGGGGTTGGAGGACCGCGCCGCACCGCCGATGAATCGCCGATGCATCGCCGATGCATCGGCGACGTCGGCGTAGCGAATATCGGGCTTCACATCGGGCCGCATCGCCGATGCATCGGCGACGCGGCGCGATCCTCCGCCCCTCATCTGCTCGGACCCAGCTTGGGAGGCCTGGCTCAGCCTGGACCCAGGATCGGTGCACGCGCCCTGCTGGCCCAGGATTGGCCCAGCCAGGATCGATGTGCAGGTACATGTGCATGGTGCCCTCCGCTCGGCAGCCGGCGCGGCCCATCTGCGGTACGATGGCCGCTCACCGACCGCACCCACATCACGCGTGGGAGCATGCCGAGCGCTGCGGCAACTCGTGGGAGAGCAAAACGGTACAAATATTGCTACTACCCGGAACTCTGTCGGGTTGCGCTCTGACCAACATTTCGAAGCGAATCCGGCCATGTCGACGAGGGCCTCCCAGGAGGCCCACAAAGGCGAAACCGAAGGAAAGGGTAGTGGTATCCGTAACCTTTCCTCCTCTGAGGATCGGTGCAGGTGTGTGGTTGGTGCTATCCGATCGAAGGCGGCGTCGTCGTCCAGGTCGCGGGTGCTGCACCGTGCCGCCTTTGTTGGGTTGAGGGAAGGCAATGCCTTCGGACAGAAGCGAAGGAGTGTTACGCTGACGGGCTCCCAACGCCAAAGTACCATTGGTACTTCATTTCCTCCAGATCCGTGGGTGCTCCACAGGAGGAGATGATCCTGGATTCGGGTGCTGGTGGTCATCTTTCGGCCACCCAAGAAGCCTGAATACTTCCACCGTCACGGGGATCAAGATCATCTTCCCTCGGTGAAGGCGCCCGCTGACAATGGAGTCGGTCCCAACTTCTGGGCCTCCAAGAATGCCGAGCCCCGCGGCGACCCGGAGGCAAGGTCGTCGTCGTCACGGGTCCTCTGGTGTAGTCCCCCTCCTTTCTTTCGACACATCCCCAGCCTCCAGGCTCGGAGAGGGATCGAAGACCCCCTCGCTGGGGGTGGCCACCCTCGCGGTGGTAGTGTCGCCTCGCATTCCTCCGAGGCGTAGGTGCAAAACTGATGCCCCCCGATCGGAGCCAGCGCCGTCGCCGTCTTAATGTGTCCTGGAACGAAAAGGCCGTTCTGTCCGTCTTTTGTGCAATCCCGGTTCTCCCACTTCCGTGGGCCGTCTGTATTGCCGTGTTTTTTGTCCACCGCTCTCCTGCTCCGGAAGCAGCTCGCTACCAACGGCAGGGAAAACGGCGCTGACGTTTGCGGGGCCCACTGTGAGTGGGGAAACCAAAAGGTACCCATGCCGCAACTCCCCAGACCTCTCCCAGGGTGCGTTCTGACCAGAATCTCCAGGCCAATCCAGCGGTGGCGACGAGGGCCTCCCAGAAGGCCCAACAGGGGGAAAACGAGAGAAGGGTCGAAACCAATTGCCCTAGCCAGCTCAACCTGCCAACCCGTCCAACCAGCCAGCCAGCCCACCCAGCCACCCCGCCACCTAGCCAACCCGTCAGCCAACCAGCCCAGCCGCCCACTCCGTCATCCCGCCAACCAGCCGATCCCCTCCGCCTGCTCTCTGTGCCCAACCAGCCACCCTGCCAACCCAATCTCCCCCGCCGCCTGCCCTCCGTCACCGCCGAGAGGAGGGGGGAAGTGTTTCTTACCAGCGAAAACCAGAAAACTAGCCCTCCCGGGGACCGGCGGGACAGCGGGGAGGGGGCAAATCGCACCGTACTATGCAGGACCGGGAATGGCGGGGGGGGGGGCCCGGCACGGTTTTGGGCCTCAAGTGTGTAACTGTCGTCATTGTTCAACGTCCACCGCGCCCTCTTTCTCAATGGGAAGGCTCCCATCCTTGAAACTGTCGCCAATTTTGAAGCCCCGCGCGTGGCTTCTTAGAGAGCCGCCAAGAGGCCCCAGGAGGTCTCAGGAGGCATCAGGAAGCTCCAGGAGGCTTCAGGACGTCCCCGGAGGCCCGTGGGAATCCTAAGGAGGCTCCAGGACGCTCCAGGAGGTCCCAGGATGCCCCGCGAGGTCCCACAAGGCCCCAGGAGGTCCCATCACGCTCCGGGCGTATCCTGAACGACCCAAAAGTTCCAGAACGCTGCGGGCGCCCCTGGAGGGCTGAGGATACCCTAGGAGAGCCCAGGAGGTTTCAAGAGGCCGCAGGAAGTCCCCAGAGGTTGCTATCCCAGGAGGCCCCTGGGATTACCAGGAGGCTCCATGAGGTCCCATGGTCCATCACGCCCGAGGTAGGGAGGGGGAGGCGGAGGAGGAGGAGGACGTGGAGGAGGAGGAGGAGGAGGAGGACAAGGAAAAGGAGGAGGAGGACGAGGAGAAGGATGAGGAGGAGGACGAGCATGATGAAGAAAGGATGAGCAGGGTGACAGCGTGACGCCCCAGCAAATACACTTGGTCCAATTGGTTTCTACCCCCGTGAGGGGCGTTACATGGTAATTAATGGTGTGGGCACCTTTTCTGGAAAAAGAAAACGGTATACAAAAAAACTGTTGGCGCTGCGCGCGAATATCTGGGATCCGCGCTGGACCCCCCCTCACTGGCGCGCGGAGCGAGCCAGGGGCGGCGCTGGAGGCGCCGCCAGAGGGGCCCAGCGCGGATCCAAGAAATCCGCGCGGAGCGCCAACAGTTTATGTTTATGCCATTTGTTCTTCTTCGACTACTGATTCCTCTGAGTTCGCGGGGCCCACTGTAACGTCACCGTCGCGGGTCCTGCACCGTGTCGTGGTTCCGCGCGAAGCGCACGGAGCTCGCCGAGAGGGCGCAGCCGCGGGCGCCGCCGCCGGCCGCCTCGGCGCCGCGGCGCCGCTGCTGCAGCTGCAGGCCCTCCTGCGCGGGCAGGGGGCGCCGTCTGCGGGCCCGCCCGCTCCGACGGCATGCGGAGAGAGCACAGGCAGCCCGTGCAATAAGGACGCGCGATGAGGATGCAGGGGCCCTGGAATGCCACGCCGGCACTTTGCGGGCAGGGCGCGGCAAGCGAAAGCGGCCAAGAATGGAAGGATGCAAGGGCAAGCTTTAGAACATTGCTCGTCCTTGCAATGCGGGCTGACTGTCGAATCGGACCGGCTGTCTACGAACGAAAACTCGAAACCCCTGCTGCCAGGCGAGCGCCCAGTCCGGCTGGGCTCGACGGCCGACGAGAGGGCAGAAGGAAGCGGAAGATGACCTTGAGATCTGGGCGCTCCAAACTTTTCACACCGGGCGTTTTCGCATGGTTTGGCACCCCGGGGCCGTCACACCTCGAAGAATGTCGCAGGAAGACTTGGTCTGGGGCTCCAGTCGTGATGTTCCGCGATCTTGCACTTTTTGCGTAACGACGGGTCTCAGGGGAGGAGGAGAGGGCATGATGCGGGGAGTTCTGGGAGGAGAGGGGGGGGTACGAGGGAGGAGGGCGGAAGGAGGGGGGGAGAAGAACGAGTCCGCGCGCGAGAAAGAGGTCAAGGGAGCGGGATCGAGGGGCGTGCCAAGGGGAGGAAAGGGGCGTGGATGTCGGAGGAGGCGACGGAGGTGGCGGCGAGAAGATTGGACCAGAGATGCTGACCTCCTGCGGGAGCGTCAGGTGGAGGCGAGGGGTGGGAGGAGGCAGAGGAGAGGCACGAGAAGGAAGAGAAAGACAAGGAGGGAGCAAGAGATGGGTCAGGAGGGAAAGGATGCGGTGGGGAGCAAGTGCAAGGATCAGGGCAAAGCGACGTGTCACGAGCTTCCATTCCATCAGCTATTAAGCCGATACAATGTAATCATGCTGCCCTTCAATAGACTATTGGCTACACGATTGTCTTCGCCCCTCTCGAAGACACTCTGGGTGGCGCTGTCAGGCTGCGCGCGTATCTCATCTCGTTGCCAACTTTCGCTGATGTACTGCGAGAGCGTCCTGGCATGGCAATAAGCTGGGCCTATGATCCCGCATCCCCGTGGTCGCGATGAAAGGAAACATTTCGAAGGCGCTCCGCTGGATGCCCCAGAGGGGGGGTCCAGAACCCAGACCACACCCCCTTTCCCCCCCTTTCCCCGGCGCGTCGTCGGCAGACCCCCCCCCCCGTCCCTCCCTTCCCCGATCCATCGTCCCAGACCCATCCACCCGCCCATTCCTTTCAAAAGGGGGGGGGGGCGCGGTGTGGACCCCCTCGACCCCCCTGTTGGACTCGAAAATCTGCCGCCCCCCTTCCCCACATTGGCCACACCGCCTCCTAGGCTCCGGAAACCAATCCCTACCACCCAACTACCTAAACCCCAGCCCCGACACCCAAACCATACCACCTTAACACTAACCCTGCCCTCATACCCTAACCCCTAACCCCACAGACCTAACCCCAAACCCTAACTCCTCACCCCAACCCTAATAACCCCTTACCCGTACCGTAACCGTAACCCCCACCACAACCTTAACCCTACCCCCAAACCCTAAATCCTGACTCCAACCCTATCGCCTAAACCCTAACACCCCTACTCTAACCATTACCTCTAACCCCTAACCCGGACCCCAATCCCTTACCCCAGCACTAAACTCTGACCCTACATTAACTCTAACCTCTAGCCCCCGAACCTCAATCCTAAAAACTAAAAACATATAACTATTCAAAACCTCAGACCCCTTTCTGTCGCCCCTTCGGCCGTCATTTATATCCGCCTCCACTTTCCCTTGTTCAAAATACGGGTTTCTGCCAACGCGGCCCGAATTCACTGCAACAGAAAAAATGTCCAGTGCATGCGGCCCGAAACCCTAGCAGCAACTGCTCCGCGGCGCACGATGGCGCCTCCAACCCGTGCGATCCCTGCCTAAAATAAATGCGATCCTGTGCACGCCTGCGCGCGTTTGTGCCCGCGGCGTTCCCAGGCGGCACGCAGGCGCTGCCCAGGCGTTTCCAAGGCGTCCCCCAGGCGCTGCCCAGGCGCTTCGAAGGCGTCCCCCAGGCGTTTCCAGGCGCGGCCCAGGAGCTGGCACAATGGCTCCAGGTTTCCCCAAACGCCCCCGGCGCTCCAAAGCGCATCCGCCCGCGTCCGTCGGTGAAATTTCGGAAGCGCCCCCAGGCGACTCCCACAGTGGCGCCTCCAACCCGTGCGATCCCGCGCGCACACTGGCGCTTCCAGGCGCGGTCCAGTCGCTGCCACAGCGGCTCCAGGCCTCCCCAGGCGCTCCAGGCGCTCCAAAGCGCGCCACCCCCCCTGCGTCGGCGAACTCTTAGAAACTTCTGGGGGGGCCGCGGGGCGCGCGACGCCGCCGCTCGCCGCGCGGCGCGCGGGTGCCCGCGCGCGCGCCCTGGGCAGATGCACTCGCGATGTATCTGCGATGCGTCTGTTCAGAATGTCCTTCGCGAAGGGCACGGGCGCGACCTCGACCCCAGCGCGCCAAGACCCGCGCCCGCACCCGTTTTCCCAAGGGCCGCCACGTGGAGGCGGAACAATGGCCCCCTGGGTTTGCGAAACCATGGCCGCCTCGACATGGGGTTTCAGCTCCGAGGGAGCGGCCTGGATCGGAGATGCAACGCCGACACATCGGCGATGTGCCGTCTTGTCTGATTGACAAGAGCACCGCCGCCGTCGTCGACGCTTTGAATTCTGCATGTCATGGGTCATGGGTGCGTGGGATCTGTCCCGCGGGCTTCGAGTGGGGCTAGCGGCTCTTAACCGAAACCCCAATTTTAACCCTGCCTGAACCTGAGCCTTTAATTATAATTAACCCCAAAGCCCTAACCCCAAACCCTGACCCTGACCCCTAACCCGAAACCCTACCCTAACCCCTAATCCTGACCCTTATAAACCCCCAACCCTAACCCTACACCAAAAAAACTAAGCTCCCCTGGAATCCCTTATGCCGCCCCCTTCATGCGCCCCTTACGCGGTCCCCCCCACTTCCCCTTGCAAAACAATGGGGTTTCGTGCGCCGGCGGCTGGAATCCCACGCAATAAATACCATGCGGTGCACCGTGCACCTCTTCCCCCTAGCACTCCCCAGGCGATCCCAAGCGCGTCTGGGTGTCTCCCGACTCTCGCGCGACCCAGGCGATCCCGAGCCCCCCCCCGAGCGCGCATCAGCGATGATGTCCTTCGAGAAGGGCACGGGCGCGACCTCGACCCTCGCGGGTTGAGTGTCGAGACTGGTCCCTTCCCCTGGGGCCGCCACGTGGGGGCTGGACATGGCCCCCTGGTTTCCGCGCGGCCATGGCCGCCGTGTCGCGCGGCCACTCCGCGACGCACTCAAACGCGCGGAGCCGGCGCGGCGAGGCGAGCACGGCCGCGCAGAGGCCCTGCCCACCACCGAATGCCTCTCGCCGAGAAGCTCCCAGTGGAAGGCGCAACTCAACGAAGTGCAACGCAGTGCGAGCATAGCCAAGCAACGCGAGCCGTGCTTCAACCAATCGCAACCTAGCGTGGCGCGACATGGCGAAGCATATCTTAACGGAGTAAGTCGCGGGAGGGGGGGGCGCGGCTTCTGCTATGGCCTTCTCGGTGCGCTCTTTTTTTTTGTTTCTCTCTCTCTCTCTCTCTCTCTTCACGAAGGCTGTCTTAATTAATGTTGGCATCGTTCTGAAGCCTCCGGATGGCCGCGGCGGCGAGGGCCTGCGCTGTCTGGCTGAGCCCTACGCCCATGCGGTACTCCGTCTCCCTGGCGAGATTCGCGCGCGTCTTCGCCCGCCGGAAGCCCGTCGCCGTTGTTTCCCAGAGCTTCTCGAGCCCCGCCCGGGTGGCGCAAGGCAAGGGGGCGCGTGTGCGAGGACGTCGGCGGCAGGGCAACGGCGGGACGACGGCGGGACGGCGACGAGACGACGGCGGGACGACGACGGGACGGCGGCGGGACGGCGGCGGGACGGCGGCGGGACGACGGCGGGACGACGGCGGGGCGACGGCGGGGCGACGGCGGGGCGGCGGCGGGAGGGCGGGGCGGCGGCGGGACTGGCGGCCCGCCTCTCACGCGGCTCCGCGCGGAGAAGGAGGGGGCTTATGCGCGGCCGCGCCTTCCGAGGCTGACGCGCCGCCGCCCTCGCAGGCGCCCCCCCCCGCCCCTGCCCTGCGCCGCCCGCCGCGTCGATCGCGGGCCCCCCCCCCCGTGGTCGAGCAGCGCGAAACAGACGCGGCCCGCGCGGGGAAGCTTCTCGCGCCGCCCCTCCGCCCCAGGCGGCTCGAAACGCCGCTTCCGGGACGCGGCGTCGCCCGCGGCGGCGCGGGCGGGGGGGCCGAACGGGCCGGCCGGCGCGTCGGCCACGGCGGCAATGCAGTCGCCGTCAGGTTTACGGCGCCGGCCGAATCGAGCCGCGCACTCGAACCAACCACGACGGACGTCGCGAGGCGCAGCCTCCCCGCCCCCCCATCGACGCGCCGAGCTGAGCCGGTCGTTGCATCGCCCGCGCGTCGGCAGTCCGCCGCGGAACACTTCTCGGCCAACGCGCGCTCCCGCGCCGCCCGCGGCGGCGCGGGCCTCCGGAGCGCCGCGGCCCCGGCCCCCCCAAGACCGAACCGATGCATCCATCGGCATCGTCGTCGCTGTCGTCGTCGACGCGCGTGGGTTCTGCATGTCGTGGGTCTAGGGCGGGCGGGGCGCATCCAATCGAGTTCAAAGAATCGCCTGTGTGGCCCGAACTCTAGCCTCTAACCCTACCCCCTAACCCGAATCCGAAATTCGAGCCTTACCCCACGCCCCAACCTCACCCCGTCCCCAAGCCCCTAACCCCAACCCCTAATTCGAATAAGTACGAACATATAAATATTCAACCCTCAGACCTCTCACGCAGCCCTTACGGCCGCCCCTTATATCAGCCCCCCCTTTGCCTTGCAAAATAAATGTTCTGCCCGCGCGACCCGAATCCCACGCAGAAAAAAAAAAGTGTACGCGGGCCGAATCCCTTGCAAACGCTGCGCGGCGCACGATGGCGCCTCCGACCCGCGCGATCCCTGCCAAACAAAATGCCATCCCGTGCGGGACTGCGCGCGTTTGTGCTCATGGCGCTCCCAGGCGGCTCCAAGGCGCTGCCCAGGCGCCTCCATGGCGCCCCCCGAGCGTTCCAGGCGCGGCCCAGGAACTGCCGCAGCGGTTCCAAGTTCCCCGAATCGCCCCGGGCGCTCCAAAACGCGCCCTCCCGCGTCGGTGGACATTTGGAGGCGTTCCCAAGCGTTCCCGAAGCTTTCCCAAGGGATTCCCAGGCGCCACCCCAGGGCTTCCAGGCGCGGCCCAGTCGCTGCCACAATAGCTCCACGCCTCCCCAAGCGCTCCAGGCGCTCCAAAGCGCCCCCCCCCGCGCCGGTGAACTCTGGAGGCTTCTCGGGCGACTCCGGGGCGCGCGACGCCGCCGCTGGACGCGCGGCGCGCGGGTGCGCGCGCGCGCCCTGGGCAGATGCTCCCGCGATAAATCTGTCGCCAGTTCGATCAGAATGTCCTTCGCGACGTGCACGGGCGCGACCTCGACACTCGCGGGTCAAGAACCGCGCCCGCGCCCTTCCCCGGGAGCCGCCGCGTGGAAGCTGGACAGTGGCCCCCTGGGTTCCCGCGAAGCCATGGCCGCCCCGGCGCCGGGGCTCAGCTCCGAGGGAGCGACCTGGAATCGGCGATGCAACGCCGATGCATCGGCGATGTGTCGCTTCCTCTGATTATCAAGAGCATCGCCGTCGTCGTCGACGAGTTGAGTTCTGTGCGCCATGGGTCATGGGTGGGCGGGCCTCGGATGGGGCTAGTGGCCCCTAGCCCTCACCCCAAACCCGACCCTGACCCCTAACCTGAAACGCATAATCCTGACCCGAATGGCCAATTCCTACTATCCCGAACTCTCAAAACCCGAGCCCTAACAGTAACCATACCCTAACCCCCCACCGTTTCCCCGAACCCTAACCATAACCCCTGCCCTAAGAACTAGAAGCCAATAGCGATTTACGCACTGAGATCCCTTACGGACCCCCCTTATGCCGCCCCTTCCGCGCCCCCCACCTTCCCTTGTAACAAATAGGGTGTTGTGTCCATGCGGCCGGATCCCTTTGCAAAAAATACGTTTTCCCATGCGTGCGGCCCGGATCCGTTGCGAATCATGGCGGCGTGAACCAGGGGGCAGCGTTTTGCCAGGGTTGCGCGAGCAGCCCGCCCAGAGCCCCAGTGGATACGGACGCAAGAGAGGCGGGGGGTGTGTCCCTCATAGCCCCCCAGCAGCGCGCGAAGCTGCGCAGCACATCGCCAGTGCGTCAGCAACCTGCTGTGGGGGGCTACCCACTGGTCGCTTCGATCCCATGCCGCATCGCCGCTGCATCGGGTTGAGGCGCTGTGTAAATACTGCGCGTGACGCATCGCACTGACGTCCCCGACGCGCTGAATTCTGTATGTCATGGGCCATGGGTGGGTGGAATACGTCCAGCGGGCTTCGAATAGAGGCTAGTGGCCTCTAACCCTAACACCTAACCCTAACCTAAATAAACCCTAAACCCAGACCCTAACCTTAACCTGCGCCCCTGCCCTGACACGAACCTCTAAAAACTGAACCCCCACAAAAATCAACCCTCAAACCCTTCATGCCGTCCCTTCGGCCGCCCCTTCTATCCACCCCCGCTGTCCTTATATATATTTATATGTATATATATATATATGTATATATAAACATGTTCTGCACATGCAGCCCGGATCCCGTGCAAAACATATGGTTTCCCGTGCATGCCGCCCGAACCCCTAGCAAAGAGTGCTCCGCGGCGCACATAGGCGCCTCCGACCCGTGCGATCCCAGACAAAGAAATACGATCCCGTGCGCGCCTGCGCGAGTTTGTGCACGTGGCCCTCCCAGGCGGTTCCCAGGCGCTGCCCAAGGCGCTTCCAAGGCGTCCCCCGAGCGCTTCCAGGCGCGGCCCACGAGCTGCCAGGCGCGGCCCAGTCGCTGCCACAGCGGCTCCAGGCCTCCCCAGGCGCTCCAGGCGCTCCAAAGCGCGCCCCCCGCGTCGGTGAAGTATTGGAAACTTCTGGGGGGACCCTGGGGCTCGTGACGCCGCCGCTCGACGCACGGAGGGCGGGTGCCCGTGCACGCGCCCTGGGCAGATGTGCTCGCGATACATCTGCCGCGCAAGTGCTCGCTCAGAATGTCCTTCGCGATGTGCACGGGCGTGACCTCGACCCTTGCGGGTCAAGAGCCGCGCCCGTGCCCTTTCCCAGGGGCCGCCACATGGAGGCTGGACAACGGCCCCCTGGGTTTCCGCGAGGCCATGGCCGCCTCGGTACGGGGGCTCAGCTTCGAGGGAGCGACCTGGAATCGGCGATGCAACGACGATACATTGGCGATACGTCGTCTTGTCTGATTGGCATGGCAAGAGCACCGCCGCCGTCGTCGACGCTTTGAATTCTGCATGTCAAGGGTCATTGGTGGGTGGGATACGTCCCGCGGGCTTCGAGTGGGGCTAGTGGCCCCTAATCCTAACCCATTACCCGAACCCTAAGCCTGACCCTAAACCTACCCGAATTCCTAACCCCTAACCCCTTAACCCTAACCACAACCCAAACTCAAACCCTAACCCCGAATACCCCAACCCTAAGCCCAACCCAAACCCTAACGCTAACCTCCCCTAACCCCTAACCCTAACCTTACTTCCCCATCCCACCAGCACCCCAACCGTAACCACCGAACCCTCACACCCATACCCTAAGACCTTAACCCTAACACCCGAACCCTAAGCCTAACCCCCGAACCCTGGCACCCTATCCCTACCACCCTGCGCCCTGACCCGAACACCCTGGCCCTAGCCCCTACCCGAACAGCCTAACCCTACCGCTCCGGCGCTCCTGCGCGGGGAGGGCCTCCCCTCCTGCCCCTCCAGTCCTGCGCAAAGGGGGGAGGGGAGGGGGCCCGAAATCGCACCCCACCTCTCCAGAGCCAACGGGGGGGAGGAGGGACGGGGAGGTCACTGTGAAGGACAGATCTGCCCCACGAATCAACAACGCAATGGCGTTTATGATAAGTTAGCGCATATGCGTGCAACGTGCCATGGATCCCAGTGCGCAACTCGCCTGGCCTGAACGGAGATGGCGAAGATGGCCAACAACATCACATGCCTGATCATCACAGGCCGCCAGCACCAGATTTGAGATGTCCATGGTGTTATGATCAAACGTCTGCCACTGTGTGGGTAAGGTGCGAAGCGGACACCCATCTACGAGCTAGAGCTGCAATCCCCCTTGGAGACGAGGAAGATACAGCCGCAGAAATACCAGCAGCTGGAGCAAGATCAGGAGGGGGACGTGGAACCGCAGTGCAGAAGATTTCGTGAGATAGTGCAGCGAAACAGTGAAGAACGGGCGGCTCCTGATTGAGGGCGGATAAGATCTGAAGGCGCCCTTCACGCCAACCAGCTCTGCGATCCCCCCTCGGTGTTCGGCGGTCTTCGGCGGTCTTCTGACGGTCTTTGCCGTTTCAGTGGTCTTTGACGGTTTACAGCTACATTCGGCGCGAAAGCTGGACGGTTGCGGTCACGAAGGGGTCCATGATCGAACATCTAGTAGTGGACACTCGCTCAGCTCCCTCAGTGCAACCTGTTTCAACGTGCGCTGGGAGCACGTAATCCACAGCATTGACCCGATCTCCGGCCGACGAGCGCAGGCAGCTCTCCCAGCCAGCCAGGCCCGACACAGAAACCCTGGACACGGGCAGCGAGGCGCATGCACGTGTCACGGAACCGGTGCAGGAACGCCACGATTTTTTGACATCCGCTGCCACTGACCTCCCTACAGGGGGCAAAAAGACGGGGTGTCGACGGCTCCCCTGCCTCCCCCGCGGCTGGGCGGCTCCAGACCCGCAGCCTTGGCGGCAGCAGCGCTGGCGCCAGCCGTCGCAACCTCCGAAGGGAAATGCGCGAAGGGCCGCCCCTGGCATGAAGGACACGGGTCCTCAGGGAAACGGGTCCTGGACCGCGGGCAACTCCCCCAGGACCACTGCTTCGTCCTGAATCGCTTTCTGACGATCCCGGGGCCCGTTGAGGGCCCCAGGAGGCCGAAAACGGTGAATGACCTCAAGGACCCGTTTCCTTGAGGAACCGTTCCCCTCATGGTGAAAAACCTGTGGTGGAACTGATATCACAAAGGCTGCCAGGGATTCCGAATGTAGCCCATCGCACTGCGGCCACCTGCGGTGCTCTGCAGGCCACTCTCTAGGCCACGGGGCCACGGGTATCCGCAGGGGGGAAGGGGGAGGGGGGCGAACCTTCCAGCACCGACACCCTCGCCTTCTCCCTCGAGCCTCTCCTCCTGTCCACCTCTTCCTCTCCCTCCCCCCTCAAAGCCCTGTCATTCCCTCTCACTCCCCCTCACTCCCCCCACCTCCGCCCTCCGTTTGTCCCTCTCTCCTCAGTGGGGCTCCTCCTCCTCCCCTCCGAAAGGGGAGGTTACGGGGGGACTGGCCTGGGGGGAGGGGGAAACATCGATCTAGAACCAGCGACACATCGCCGACATATCGGCGACAAGCCAACGATAGCAAACCCGCACGCTCCTGGGTGGGGTGGGCTATCAGGCATGCTGTCGGCGATCAGTGGGCGATTGGGGGCGGATGCGTCCCCCTCCAAGCCTGTCCCCCCAAGTTGCCCCCCATGGCATTCGGGTCATGACTCGGCTCCACGACGGCCGTTCGGGACGATCCAGGCATCCCCCGAACGCTCTCGGCAAGACGCTGCTGCTGGAGAGCACCCCGAGGCTGGAAAACAGCCGATGGCCGATGAAAACGCCTGAAGAACTCGAGCCTCGCACACCTAACGATGCCCTGACTATGTGACTGGGGGCCCCCCTCCACCCCGCCACCCAGTCCCCCACCTTCCCCCCACGACTAGGACGACGACGACGACGGCGAGGATCCACCCCACCGAGGCCTCTGGACCGCCGCGCAACGCCGCACTCAGATACACTGCGAGGGGGAAGTCGGTGGTCTGCAGCGGCGAGTACCTCAAGCCCCGCGCCGCGCGCCGTGGGGAGAGAGCACGCCCCCCCCCCCCTCCGATCAGTCCCCCGCCGCTCCCCCCCTCCCCGTCCTCCTCCGTCTCCTCCTCTGACCCTCCCGCCCTCCTCACCCTCCTCCCCCTCCTCAATCCCCCCATCGCGGTGTCAAGATATTGTCAAGACTATAATGGCGCCTGTGCAGACTTCTCGGGGAAGCATTCGGGCGTCGCGCTTTCGTGCATGCTCTCAACATATCATCGCGCGCGGATGTTTTTTTTTCCCCCGCACGCACCAGAGTTAGGTAACGCAGTGCGTCGGCCAGGCGTACTTCTGACATTTCCTTACCACGTAGATCCGAACATGTTTCGAAGCGACGCGGGGACGTTCATTGACGTCGTCGTCTCGCCAACGTCCGAGGCGGCCCTCGGTCGTCGTCGTCGTTGGGCCGCTCCCACTCGCAAGTTGAAGTTGAATAGGGAAACGGCTTGCCCGAAATTTTCTTATGCCAGCTTGAAAAAAAAACCAACGCCGCCGCTGCTGCTTCGATGTCTAAGCCTATAAGAACCAACAGAAACAACTTAGAAACCGCGTAGGAGCCGTGTTTGTACGTAGAAACCGCTGCACACCTTTGAACATACCAAATTACCGATTTGATTTTAATGGGTTGGTCCGGTTTCCATGTAAAAGATGCGCGATTCCTGCATGGCCCCTTACGCGGTGTCTACCCTACCGTTTCCTAAGCGGTTTCTACGACTCTGTCGCGACAGCGAGGCCAGGGGGCGTTCCTTTGTTGGCTGGGGCGAGTGGCGGAGTCAACCTGCAGAATCAGTTCGCTGCGTCGCGCGCACTGCGCGCGGTGCCTTCTCCACTCAGGCTGCGCTGCCAGTTGCGTGGCGCCAAGCGAAGGGCCCGGGGCGCGCGATGAAAACGACCGCGCAGAATTGGCCCGCCGAGCCAGATCTCCGTCCCTTGTACTGAATCCGACTCACGAGGCTTCGGTGACACCGCGGACAGGATTGGCCCTTGCCGGGTACTAGAACTTCTTGCCGCGCTGCCCCAGATTGCGCCGCTCGGGGGGCGATCGAAGCGGAAGTGCAAAGGCGCGCCACAGCGAATGCGCTGCCCGCGCCCCCCCCCGCCCCCCCTCCCCCCAGCGATGCAAAGCTGAGCAACGAAGCAACGCGACGACGTCACCGATGAGGTCAATTGCCGTCGTCTCCCGTCGGTCTCCACAACTTTGCATCGGAAGGCGGGGGGCGCGGGGGCCGGCGAGGCGCTCGTCTTTGCGACTGCCAAGATACTGTCAACACTCAAGTGCCGCCCGTGCAGACGTCTCGGGAAAGCATTTGGGCGTCGCGCTCTCGCGCACGTCCTCAACGTATCATCGCGCGCGGATAGCTTTTTCCGCGCGCACCGGAGCGAGGTGGCGCAGTGCATCGACCAGGTGTACATCTGACTGTCCCTCTTCACGTAGATCCGAACATGATTCGGCGCGACCCGGCGCGGGGGCGACCATTGGCATCGTCGTCTCGCCAGCGTCCGAGGCGGCCCTCGGTCGCCGTCGTTGTCGCTGGGCCGCTCCCATGCGAAATTTGAAGATGAATGGGAAAGTGGCGGGCCAGCCGTTGTCATATTCCAGCTTGAAATATGGGGCCCATCGCCGCCGCTGCTGCTTCGTTGTAGAAGCAGCGTAGAAACCTGTAGATACCGCGTAGAAGCCGCGTATCTTTTACATAGAAGCCGCTGCACATCGCAAGAATTTCAACTCATCAATTACATGTAATGCGTTGGGTCGGCTATGTGGCCATGTAGAAGACGCGCGGACTTTCTTACGTGTCGCTACCCGGTTTCCACGATTCTGTCGTCGCAGCGACGTCAGGGGCGTTCCCGTGTTGGCTTGGGCGAGTGGCGGAGCCAACCCGTTCAATCAGTTCGCTGCGGCGCGCGCACTGCGCGCGGTGCCTTCTCCACTCAGGCTGCGCTGCCAGTTGCGCGGCGCCAAGCGAAGGGCCCGGGGCGCACGATGAAAACGACCGCGCAGAATTGGACCGCCGAGCCAGATCTCCGCCCCGCGTACGTAATCCCACTCACGTCGCTTCGGTGACACCGCAGGCAGTCTTGGCCCTTGCCGGGCACTACAACTTCTGACTACGCTGCCCCAGATTGCGCCGTTCGGAAGGCGATCGAAGCGGACATGCAAAGGCGCGCCCACGCGGCGGCAGCCGACTCTGTCGCCGCGCCAGGGCGGACGCGCAGCCCGCGCCCCCCCACACCCCCCAGCGATGCAGAGCTGAGCAACGAAAAGACGCGACGACGTCACCGAGAAGGTCCATTGCCGTCGTCTCTCGTCGGTCCGTGTCGGGCTCCTCAGCTTTGCATCAGGGGGTGGGGGCTGGGGGAGTCGGCGCGGCGCATGCCCCTGCGACTTCCATGATGTTGTCAAGATTAAAATACCGCCCGTTCGAACTTCTCGGGGAAGCATTCGGGCGTCGCGCTCTTGCGCACGTTCTCAACATACCATCGCGCGCGGATGGCCGTTTCTTATTTTTTCCGCACGCGCCGGAGTTGAGTCGCGCAGTGCAACGGCCAATTGTACACCTGACTTTCCCTTTTTACGTAGATCCGAACGTGTTTCGATGCGACCCGGCGCGGGGGCGACCATTGGCGTCGTCGTCTCGCCAGCGTCCAAGGCGGCCCTCGGCCATCGTCGTCGTTGGGCGGCTCCCACGCGAAATTTGAAGATGAATAGGAAAGTGGCGGGCCAGCCGCTATCCTATTCCAGCTTGAAAAGTGAAGCCCAACGCCGCCGCTGCTGCTTCGTTGTAGAAGCCGCATAGAAGCCCGTTGAAACCGCGCATGTTTTACATGGAGGCCGCTGCGCATCTGAAAATTTCCATGTGCCCATTTACTTGTGATCGGTTGGACCGGCTATGTAAAATATGCGCGATTCCCACGCGGTTTCTACCGATTCCTACCCGGTTTCTACGACCCTGCCGCGACAGCGACGCCAGGGCGCGTTCCCGTGTTGGCTGGGGCGAAAGGCGGAGTCAACCTGCAGGACATGTGCTCTGCGTCGCGCGCACATTGCGCGGTGTTATCCCCATCCAGGCTTCAATGCCAGTTGCGCGGCGCCAAGCGGGGAGTCCAGGGCGCGCGGTATATATATATATATATATATATATATATATATATATATATATATATGTATATATATATGTATAAAAGACGACCGCGCAACATTGAGCCGCCGAGCAAGATCTCCGCCGCTTGCGTTTCCCACTCACGAAGCTTTGGTGGCGCCGCAGGCAGTCTTGGCCCCTGCCGGGCACTGGAACTTGTGACTGCGCTGCCCCGAACTGCGCCGTTCAGAAGGCGATCGAAGCGGAAATGCAAAGGCGCGCCCACGCGGCGGCAGCCGACTCTGTCGCCGCGCCAGGGCGGACGCGCAGCCCGCGCCCCCCCACTCCACCCAGCAAAGCAAAGCTGAGCAACGAAGCGACGCGACGACGTCACCGAGAAGGTCCATTGCCGTCGTCTCTTGTCGGTCCTCGTCGGTCTCCTCAGCTTTGCATCAAGGGGGTGGGGGGTTGGGGGGGCCGGCGCGGCGCGTGTCTTTGCGACTTCCAAGACGCTGTCAAAACTATAGTACCGCCCGTGCGGTCTTCTCGGGGAAGCATTCGGGCGTCGCGCTCCTGCGTGCGTTCTTAATATATCATCGCGCGCGGATGGGCATTATCTTTGTCGCACGCACCAGACTTATGTCGCGCAGTGTATCGGCCAAGTTTACATCTGACACCCCCGTTTTACGTCGATCCGAACATGTTTCGACGCGACGCGGCGCGGGGACGTCCATTGGCGTCGTCGTCTCGCCAGCGTCCGAGGCGGCCCTCGGTCGTCGTCGCTGGGCCGCG